CCCCCCCTGCCCCGCCCCGGCAGCCGGCGCGTCCCTCAGCCCCTGCCGGTGCCTCGGGGGTGGCGGCGGTGGTGCCGTAGGGCACAGCAGAGCCCAGAGCCGAGGGCGCGGGGCTGCCTTGCCTTCCTGCCGGGGCGGTCAGCGCTGCTTGTTTGAGTTCTAGCCTGTTTCGCGTGGGAGTGTTTCTTCTTGTCGCTCAGGCTGTGCCTGGCGAAGGTACAAAGAGTGAATTGTGTGTGGAGAATGTAACACTGGTGCTTAGGGCTCAGGTAAAAAGTGTTGATGCTATGCCAGTCATCAGTCCCAAGATACTGGGTTTAATTTCAGTACCTGCTTTCTGACGTCCTTATTGTGCAACTCATAATTATGTTTCCCTGTGTATTTCAGGCTATTCTAATTTTCTGCTGGGTTTATGTGCGCAAGTACCAGAGTCGGCGGGAGAGTGAAGTGATTTCTACCATAACAGCTATCTTTGCGCTGGCAGTTGCTCTTATCTCATCAGCGCTACTACCAGTGGACATCTTTTTGGTTTCATATATGAAAAATCAAAATGGTACATTTAAGGTATGGACTCTTAAAAATGTTAATTGCCTCTTCAAAAGAAGCACTTGTGTTGAAAGAGGATGTTCTTGGGTTGCCAAAATGTTTAAAATCAATGCTAATACCTGTTCTGGTGCCTGAGGTTTTTGGAAAGCTGGGAACTAGTACTGTGAATACAACACTGAGCTCTGTTTATTTGAATTGAATTTCAGGTTTCACTTCTGTTATTCATTTTCAATATGTTACTAACTTCCAAACAGTCATTCCTTTGATTGTGCTAAAAGGAGTGCATATACCATCCTGAAGATATAAATAAATCTCTTCAATATTGCTTTTTTAGTACATCATAATGGGGTGTTGTAGAATGAAATTTGTTGCCTGTTTGTTCAAAAACAGACTGCATTGCCCATTTGCAGTTTAAGATTATTTTGATTTTCTCTTTTGCCAGCATTCTCTTATTCTGGTACTGAAACATTAGGACTTGTAAAGCTTTACTGTGTTAATCTACCTATAATGTAGAGCCTGGGTTAGTAAGCACGTTTCTAAAAGAGGGAAAGCTGGAAAAACCCTGGGGGGAGGGGAATACAGTAGTATCTCTTCCTGGTTGATACTGCCTTAACTGAACTGCTGTTTTTATAAACTTAAACTGTAGGGGGTTGCTGTGCAAAATGAGTTAATGAGATGAGTACTCACTGTAGTCTACTCTAAGCATTACTGTAAGAGTTCTTCCCAATGCCTAAATCATTGGCCTTTTTCATTTTCAAGGAGGGTTCTTGAAGGTAGTGACCTGGTGTCTTTGTGAGGACACTACCATTGAAAACAAGTCAAACTGGAGCATATTAATAATTTGAATAACAGTTTAGTTTGGAGCCTACCTGGATCTATAGTAAAAGAGATAATCTTAAAACAAATGAGAGTGGGGAGATGGTAAATGCCTGCACACTAGATTCAAAGACCATATTCCCTTCCAGCCTTACTTCAAAAGGAAAACCTAGGTCCTGCCAGATTCTTGATGATGCTTCGGAACTAGCTTGCAACTAATACAGTGCATTTTAGCTGGTATTCACATAAATGCAAGTCATAAGAAGCCTTTAGAATTGAGCTGTGACGTGACTTTTATTGTGTTTATCACTCAGTGGTAATACAGAATAAGTTAAGCTATTATTCAATGTTATTGTTAAAAGTTTGTCTTCAGACCTTGTTTGTTCAGAATTAAAATGGATATAGAAGATGGAAGAGACCTTTCATATGTCATGATGCTAGCAGTTCAATGAGAATAATACTGAGTATTAAGAAATATATTGAGCCTGACTAGCTAGAGAAATAACAATGAGGTAACTAGGTCCAGCTGAAAAATGCACATCTGCTGGGGGCTAAGCAGAATTTCCTGTTGCAAAGGAGACCTATTTTGTTAATGTATGCATTCCCTGATTTGAGAAACAAGCCTGTGAGGAGAATAGGAGGCGAAATGTGGTCATGCAGTCACTACAGTCTTATTTAAGGAAGCATGATTAATAGAAGGAAAACTACTGTACCTAAAATACTGGTTTTCTTGAGCTAAGTTTCTTTGTTAATGACCACATGCTGTGATATGATGGGTAGATTTCATGCTTGTGGTAAAGCTTTTGTTTTTTTTAAAGTACCTTTGCCTCTGCTTCCAAGGCTTCTTGGTCCTGCTTAGTTCCTAACATTTGTATATGCTGCTGATGGCCTGTTGAAATAAAATTACTCTTTACTGCCTTGCAGAAGAATTCTTCCTTCTCTTTTAAGGCTCACCTGAATGAGTTTCTAGCTTTGCAGCAATAACATGAGATCATCTGATATTAATATATTTAATCCAACACAAGTGTTGAAATTGTGATATAGAAATATTAACATGGCCTTCCTGGTAAAGTTGAGTGGATCTGAAGTCAGTCAGAACATATAAACCTATATGGAAACACACAGCTTTATTGATTTGGTAATTTCAGTTTAGGAGTCATGTCAAGTTAGGGGCTTGACAGCATCTTAATGTGAGATCTTCATGAAGTGTTAGAGCTTTTAACACTGTCCTGGGTAACATGTGCTTCTTTTCTGCAACTGGTGCACAAGTAGGACAGACTGGATTGGGTTCAGAATATTTCCAAGAGGCTACTGCCCTTCTGGAGCATGCTTTCAAACCCAGCACCTCCAAGGCCCTATATCTGATGCTGGTGTCCAAAGGACACTGGCAAGAATCCTTTGTTTTGGATAGCCAGACTGAGTTAAGTCTTTGCTAGATTCTTCTTTTCAGTGAATTTTTGAGGCAGATCCATGTAGCAGATGTGGATAATATTCTGTGTAGATAAATCATTAGTTCATCAACAAAACCTTCCAACTGGATGATTTCGGAGCTTATGCCAAAAGAGTAGTGGCAGTTATCCAGATTCTAGGTAAAAATTTTTTTTTGTTGTATGTACTCTTTTCCTCTACCTCCCAACTGTAATTCCCAGTATTAGTGTTAGAGAGATGAGAAACTCAAGCATGCTCAGCTTACAAGGAAGAGGTACTATGCATGGACTTTCAGTTCATTTTTAATGCATCTGGCCCTAGTACCAACTTGTAGATATTCTTGAGGTTTTTCTGTGAACAAACTTATAGCAAGCTTGGGGAGGAGCATGTTAGACTCGTAGCAGAGGTTAAATCAAAGGCATAGTCTGATGGCTCAAAGTTCTCATTGTGAATTGTGTGTTCAGTGGCAAGTGAAGGTATATGTCCTGGCTCCAAGGACTGGCTTAATTGTCTGAAGTGTAGTACTTGGGCAGATTACCCTTCTCTGAAGGCTGTCAAAATGATGCTGCTTTCTGGATGAATTCACTTAAGACAGTGTTGTGTAGCCCTTTTCCATCATGTGTTCCGAGGTGTCTTCCTTGACGAGGGCCATATACTATACCTTGGTCAGCTGCTGTTGACCTTGACGTTTTATCCATTCAAGAGAACTGTGAAACTTAATGTACTGTTCATACCTCTTTCAATTAAGACAAGTTATTCTTTACTATAAACAAGTGGCTTGTGGCATATGGTGCCTGTTAGTGTGTCTCACTATATTTTGTGAGACTTGTCAAATATTATCTTAAAGCTTTTATAGTGAGTTGAGCAGTTTTCATATTAGAAGGTTTTGCACAGTAGGTGTGTAGTCCTTTAGGAAAGGAGCAGTGGTGTGTGGACTTGGGTGGTCATTATTCCTATGTACAACAGAATTCATTGCAGCAACACCTTTTCTGGATGCTGGGATTACTTTGATTCATGGTGCTGTTAAGTAGGAAAGCAGGCTTTTGGTTCTAGTTCTAATAAAAGGAACTTGAGTATTACCTTGTAAGCGAAATCCTGATAACATTCACCAGCACCACTTTTTTATCTTGAAGGTTTTTGCTGTTTGCATTGACAGTGCTTTAGTTTGTGCAGTGGAGTTCAAATACATCCAGTTGGATCTGATCTGTTTGATCTGAAGGCTTGTTTGATTTATAACAAGCACTTAGGAACAGAAAACCTCACCCTAGCTTAAAGACTTAAGATTGCTGCTAGAACCCAAGACCTCTGGGTCTAACCTGCAAGTCTCATAAGTATTTAAAACATAGCTGATGCTGTCTTGCAGCAGGAAGACTGCTTGAAACAAGATGTTATCATCACCATGCTGTATTTTTTTTAATTCTATAGCTGATGCAGCAGAAGGCAGGGGAGGTGATGAGAACTTTTCTTTTTGAAATGTATGGATTCTTTCTACTATATGAAGTTAAAAGCCAGTGGCATTTCTTTCAGTCTGGTTTGACTGAACACCCCACAAACTGTGGGTGTCTGCCTGAGCTGTTAAAAACCAGTTGTCTCCTTAATGATTCAAGGAGTAGCATCTGTTTAATCGGAGATCCTTTTAGCAGTCCATTGTATTAAGATTTTTTGCGTCTTGGGGGAAGCTCCTTATGTAGCTGCTGAGAATACAGAACCACTAGAAATGTCGGATTTCTCTTTATTCTAGAAAGGCTTTAGCTGAGGAATCATTATCGACTGAGACCATGCTTCCTGTTCTGAGTAGGAATTACTACTTGTGAATTAACAGTACTTGGCCAAAATATTCGTGGTAGCCAGATGCAGCTGAGATAAACATGTTTCTGGATGTTACTCTCTATCTGGCAGTCAAAATCCTGGCACTGTCCCATCTTGGAGGTAACAGGCTGGAAGATCTGAGAACTGGATATGAAATTTCTTGATGTCTAACCATCCTATGACCCACTCTCCAGTTTTTGTTGTTGTATCTTTTGTTGTGAAATTTTGGGAGAGGCTAATCAGCAGAATGATGGTTTCATCTACATTTGATAAAATGTCACAAATACTGAAACCTGGAATGTTACACCACTTTAAGTTCTTTTAAGCTACATTTGTGGAGAGTGGGAGCGTCTTCATTGGGTACTCATGAAATTCTTTCAGGGTCCAGCAGTGACAGTAGAAATGTCCCCTTTAAGAGGGACAAAAGAAAGAAATTCATGGCCATTCCCTCACCAAGAGGTGAGGAAGGTCAAAAATGTCAGATTAGCTTGTACTGCTTTTGTTTGAGGAAGTTATCTGTACAGTTTGAATAGTGCTGTTCTGTTGAAATATGTTAACATAAGTCACTAACTGGGCACAGTTGCTGGGAGAAGGAAGACTCTGCTCAACGATTACTGAGGGAAGCACATGTTCTTCATAACTAATTTTCTATGAATGTAATTATAAAATTAAATCTTCTGAGGGAGCTTTGGTTTTAGCTTTTAGGTGAACTGGAAGTGTCTTTAACTGTCTTTTTTATATCCTTATGTAGCAACATTTTACTAATCTATTTACTTTTTATACTTGTAACTGTATTTAAATTTCCTGAATCATTCAACATGGCTTGTCTTATGGAGTACTTAAGAGTAATAGCTTAATGTAGGCCATCATACTTGTTGCACATATCCTTGCCATTTGTTGATTCCCTTATCTATCAATACAATGCATTGTTACAGGTATTTTAAAGGTGATGTGATGTATGCTTGCTAAACTGCATGGAACAGAATGAAGTACAGCAGAACAGTGCAGAGTGCCCAAATTCTGCAGATCTTAAGAGAATTTGTGGTCACATTTTCACATCTTAAACTGCTGTTGAAGGCAGTAATGAATTCTCACCTTCCTAATCTGTTGTGCTTCTAAGTTATTTGCTGTATATATTGTAAGCTTGGGCTATAATGGATGGAGAAGAAAACAAACTAGATCTAGAGGCTGTCCAGATGAGTTGTCAACTGAGTCCTGGATGTGCTCATCCAGTAAATTAATATACCTATCAACTCGATATATCAGCGCTGCTGCTGAGAATGTCAGAGCTCTGACAGTCACTAGGTGGCAGTGCTTCTTGCTTTTGACAAGGCGGTGCTGCTGTCACTGGCTTTTGAAACAGCTCAGATGAACTGGTTACTGCTTTTGAGTTGTTAATGATGTGTGCATTTGAATAATTTGCCAGTAAGAATAAGGATTTTTACCTCCTTAGTTTGTGTAAGTGTGGGGCATCAGCAGCTGACTGAAAGCTGACATAATAGGTATGATATACTGTTAAATTGGCTTGCATTACAGGTTGTTCTTGTGTAGAGTAATGCAAAGTTTTTAAGTTCAGGCACAAGTACACAATGGTGAAATGTGCACATCTTTTCATCTTTTAATGTAAGATAGCATCTCAATATTTTAATGTGCTGTAATGTATGTTTCCTGGTATATTACCCTGGTCCTGTACACAACTTAATTTCAGCAACAAAATGAAAAGCAATTACAGTGTTTTGAAGTGTTACATCTGTATCCTGTTAAATGTTATTAATGCTTTTCTGGAGTTGGAGGAGAAGCAGTTTTTTGGCAGTTAAGCCCTGTTGTATTTCAATTACTAGCTACCTCTTCCTGTAAAGTGGCTGTACCACTTAAACTTTGGGTCTTACTGTTGCTTTTCTTGCTTATTCTTGGTTGGTGTGAGTTTTGAATGTCTCCATTGCTCACAAGAGAGACTTTCTTGAAATACTCACTTGCAAGTAAATAGTGCCACCTGTTCAGTTCAGTCTTGCTTTTCCCCTAGGCATAATTAAAGCAATGAATTTCCTTAATTTTTAGCACTAGGCAATTTAAACACTTTAATATTCTGTGTACATACTCTTAACTTATTACAATCAAATTCTTTCATGGTGTATCTTCGTACAAATGCCTAGAAATTTTTCAGTTGAAATGCTGTTGGGCTTGAGCCTGATGGTCTTCAAAGATTGGGCTTATTGTGTACCTGACAGACACTAAATTTAAGGTGTTACTTCCGTCCCTTCTGCTAAAATATTTTTCATCCTTTCTTTCTGCTGATTAGATGACAAAATGCATGTATACTTTTCTACTCAAATTCCAGTTGGATGATAATCTAACTTATTTCAGACAGTGAACTTTAAAAGCTTAGTGTAAAGTGGCCTACTGGAAGTCTTAATATAGTAACACGAAGGAAGGTGTTGCTGATTTTCTGAGATTATAGAAAAATGAAGTGTTTATGGTATGTCATCAAGTCCATATTCCATGGGAGTTTAGACAGTCCTGAAAGAACTGATAAAGCAAGTGTTAAACTTCTTTAAGACTTATCTTATGCAGTCTTTAAGGAGTATGCTCACTTGCATTTTTCATATACTCTGTATTAGTGCATGTGTCTTTACAACAACTGAAAGGACTTGAGCTTTTTTTCACACTGGTGTGTGAAAAAACTCTACACATAAAATTGAAAGGAGCTTTGATAGTACCGGATCTCTTCTTTTCTCACCAATTCAATTATGTTGCCATGTTTCAAAACCCCCTAGCTTTTGAAGAATTTTGCTTCTGGATAATGACTTTCTTGATCTTGGCTACACGTAGAGTGGATCCCACAAGACTTGAACAATTCTGGAATATGTTTAAGCTATACAGGCAGGCTTGGACCTCTGGATTCAGTCCCTGAGTTTGACTGCCAATGATCATGTTACAAAACATTTAGCTTCCTTAAATGAATAGTTTCTCATGAGGAGAAGAAGAAAGATGAGGGGAAGAACATGACTTCAGCCTTCTGGCTGGGTGCAGTTACCAACATAGCTAGAGTTGTATTTTCACTTCCATTCTCTGAACAGTTCCCCAGGACTGAGTAACATAGTTCTGAAAAAGATCAACTTTTGCTCTTGTTCAAATAAGGGATATCAATGCTGTTACATTTGGAGTTGTAGGATCTAAATCCTAACATGTATGGATGGGTCTCCTGCAGTTCTGTAGTAAGATTTGAGATAGGCTACTGTATTAAATTCTGGTAGTAATTATGGCTTCTTGATCAGCCTGTGACTTTTTGGGTAGGAACTTCAGAAAAACAGTCTGCCCTTTGGTATTATGTAAAGAGCTTCAGTGCTTAGGCCAGAAACTCAAGACTGGCATACAGTTAGTGTCTAAGCTCTGCTAGTATGCATAGTATCAAGTGATCCAATAACTTTTTTCTAATACATGGTTTAGGGTACTCTTTTCTGAAGCAACTTAAATATTCATATAATTCAAGTCGTGGTCAAACTAAAAAGTAAAGACTTATACTTCTGAAAAAGGAGATGATGGCTGGGTTGATAACTAATAAAAATAAAAGTTTATAAGCTACAACTGAGTATAAAAAAACCAACCTATTTGCCATTGCTATGTCTAAGTACTGTCGCATCTGTATATATAAATTTTAGTCATAGGTGTTCTGTGATAGAAATGCTGTGTGCATTGTGTGCACTGCGTACTGTGTCCAGCTCTGTGGCCGACAGTACGAGAAAGACATGGAACTGCTAGAACAGGGCCACAAAAATGGTCAGAGGGCTGGAATGCCTCTCCTGTGAAGAAGGGCTGAGAGAGTTGGGGTTGTTCAGCCTGGAGAAGGGAAGGCTCTGGGGAGACCTTATTGCAGCCTTTCAATATACAAAGAGGGCTTATAAGAAAGACAGAGAAACACTTTGGCTGGGGCCTGTAGTGACAGGACAAGTGGCAACAGTTTTAAACTGAAAGAAGGTAGATTTAGATTGGACATAAAGAAGAAATTTTTTATGTTGAGTGTGGTGAGACTCTGGAACAGGTTACCCAGAGTAGTTGTTGATGCCCCATCCCTGGAAGTGTTCAAGATCAGGTTGAATGAACTTTGAGCAACCTGATCTAGTGAAAGATGTCCCTGCCCATGGCAGGGGGGTTGGACAAGATGATCTTTGACAGTCCCTTCCAACCCAAGCCATTCTATGATGATCTTAAGAGACTGTGTTATCAAGATACTGTGGGAATTAGCACAACACACTTGGGAGCTGCCAAAACTACTTGATGTTCTTTCTGGTCTGTAAAATCTTCCCTTTATGAAACTGTCTTATGCTTATTCCTGTATGCCCTGTCATTTGCACCTTTGCTAGCACTCTGTAGCCAGTAATTTTTTTAGAAGCAGTGTTTTTTATATCGATCTCTATGTATTTGTGTTCTTGAATGATTCTCTTGTTGTGTTGCCAAATACAGTAGTAACATGAAGTACATGAAGTACTGTAGAGATTCTCAGAAGAATACGGGTCTTTATATGCTATTTGTATCTAGACTTACATGCTTGAAAAATAGATGTTTGATACCTTAGAAAGGGCCATCTGTACAGAATTATTTTTTCTTCCAAACTCAAAGTCCTAACAAAGCAAATTGTGCTTATCAAATTTGATTCTGCCCTTTCTATTGAGATGCATCTAGAAAAGATTTTTATCTTGATTATCTGACTTTTTTTTCTGGAAGGTGTTCCCAAATTCTAGTTTGTGGTACCATTTCTGTGACTGAAATTCAGCAATGTGGATATCAGCCTCAAGTGGGATTTTGGGACTGCTCTTCTAGCAATTCCCAGTGTCAGTGTTACTGAAAAAAGCACTTAAACTAGTGCTTTTTTTTATTTGAGAGGTATTGACTTAATGAGTGGATCCTTGACCTGATTGGCTCCTGCCATTAATGCTTTGCATATGCATATTTTCTGAAAAGTTGCAAAGCAGATGTAAATGTGTTAATTATAAAATTAAATCCAATGCATCCAATTACTGGGCTGGGCAACTCATACAGCTTAGCTGTCTGTGCAGTCTTTTCTAATGTACCACACTGGTTTCAAGCCTATCATATGTTGGGTTTTGTGGAAAACTTATCCTGAGGACAACTTTGTCCCTGCAAGTACTTGACTTTAAAGCTTAGTGTCTACTGCAGTGCTCAGAGTCCAGAAAAAAGGGCTAGAACTGTGTGAATAACCATACCTCCAGTTGTCTTTTACAAAACATTTTGAAAAACTGTTCAGATTGAGCTTCAGACTCAGTAGCTGCGTTTTCTGATATGTAGAAAACAAACATCAGTTCCATAGAAGTAGATATTTAGAGTGCCACTTAAATACAAAAGTAAATTGTTAGCTGCTAAAAATGATATTCACTAATAATTTTATTTCAATTGTGCATTGACAATGTAATGTATGGTACCTAAGGATTGTTAATCTGAAAAAAAAAATACAGGTTTAAGTATGAGGCTAGGAGCCAAAGTGAGTATAAGCAGTGGGGATACTACTCCAGTGTCTGTCCCCTGAAATGCAGCACATTCCTTAATCGTCTTTAGGTGAATTAGATCTAACTTAAATTCCAACACTTAAAACTGGCAAACTGGGTGCTTAATGCTTTTCCTTAGGCATTTGATATGAGTAATTTTTTCAGTTGTATAAGAATATTATTGAATGAGGTGTTCTTTTGTTTCATTTGATGTTAAATGCATCTATCCTTCTAGGACTGGGCTGATGCTAATGTTTCAAGACAAATTGAAGACACTGTACTTTATGGATACTACAGTAAGTATTTTGAAATTCTATTTTTTTAGAATTAATGGGACCTTTAAGTGAAGGCATGAAGTTTTTAGGGATCATACTGGATTATCCCTTCTTGGTTAAATATTAGTCTTACACTTAGTGCCCTTCGGTGAATTTTTTTACATTCAAGAGCCCACTAAAAATGCAAACATACTGAAGGCCAATCCTTGAAAATGCTAGTGGCTTCTGTCATATAATCTGCTGTTAACATATTTCCTGTGTGTGTATTTAGAGGCCCATTAAGGGAGATGTGGCTTTGCTTGACCTTTTATGACACTTAACATATGCAGCAGTGTGAAACTTGCCTACTGTGTATAGAGTTCATGCAGCTGTGAGTGTAACACCTGTGTTTTAAGTGTTCAGATTCAGCAACTACTGTATTCAAAGTAAGAGCTATTGTAAAGGAGCATAAAGGAGTTGATTCAAGAGTGGTAATCCTAAAGAAAACTGAAGCAAAAAAATGAACTGAAATAAAATCTAATAAAATAACTGTTCACCAAACCTCTGTAGTTTTACATCAGTTCTAGTTGTCCTTCTGAAACTTACATATATTCATTAGTAGTAAACTTTTTATAAGAGGTAGCCATATAAGAATGATGCTTGTAACAGTTTGTGTGAAATGCCTGCCTTGGTCAATGATACAAACTTAGAGGTAGCTGCCTGCTTTTGGTCACATTTCCTAAGACTTGAAACTTTTCTCTTGGAAGACTATGGGTTGGCCCTTTTGAATGTATTTTTTTTTTTAATATCAGGAAATAATTAGTTCTAAATAGTGGACTTTTTTGTTAAGTTACAGAATACTTACTGCCAGCCAGTGATAGCAACAGAAACTAGAATGTGCAGTTTCATGCTGAGTGAACCCTAAAGCCAAAAGTAGTAAGAAACTTCTCTGTTTTCAAAAAGGAACTTTTTAAATGCTAGTTTATCTTCCACAAAGATTCTTCACTATAGAATAGTGGAATTGCTTTGTATTTGCTTTCTACCCTTGTTAGGTTGCTAAGGCCTTGTTTAACAGCCCAAGTATTTCACAACTCCTAATGAGGAGCAGTCTTCAAACTCTTCTGTGGACCATTTTCTTTAGATTTTGTGAGACTGATGGATTAATTTCTGTAAGAAGATGTTTTGGGCTAACTGAGTCTCTTTAAAGCAAGATGTCTCCTGGTAAATCCTGAACTAATTTTTGGAATAGATTTGAACTTAAACCTGACAAACTGCCTTTGTTTTTTGGGCTATCTGGACAGGTCTACTTGAAATGTTGTAGGACTAACATTTTATTTCATAGCATATCCTCCAGATGGTGGTAGAGATTTAAAGATTGTTTTAAAAGTATTTTTCTTTTGTGATCTTAATTTGAGGAACTGATGCACACTTTTATAACTAGAGCTATGTTGAAGTAAATAGTAAGAGGTAACTTATTTTTCAGAAGTCTTCATCATTCCTATATAAAAACACAACTTAATATCTCTTCTGCATCGTTAGGTCTAGTCCCCTGCTGCTGTTGCACAGCATAGTGACATGAAAGCTGAGAAGGAATAAATTAAACAACTTTTCCAGTCTTGTAATACTACTCATTTTTTTCTACTCGTATCCTCTTATAAAAGTATTTGGTCTTGGCATGTTTTTTTGTTTTTAAAATAAACAGGATGAACAAAACTGAAATCTCCCTTTGTACTTAAGGACATGAATACTAGTACTTTCTTATCTCTCCTGACAATGCAGTGATAACTATATAGATCTTACTTGCCTAAAGTAAGAATGTAGAAATGCCTTTTTTTAATGAAGTCATTAGACGCCATGAACAATGTTCTGTGTCTCATACGCAGCTGGTTTCTTGGCTAGATGGATACAAAAGTAGAATGGCTTTGTAAAATACAATAAATGAGGTAACTTTCAGAACAAAGCTTGAAATAACTGTGTTTTTGAAGTGGGCCTTCAGTAGCCTAAAAGCTTTACTTAGGAAACAAGTCTGACTGCTTTGAAGCCGTAGTGGCTTAGTGTGTTAATTCTCATAAAACCAGCTGCAGTAGAATGTGTCTGCCAGTACTTGAGTGACTGAAGAATGATCAGTGGTTGGCAGATGCTCTAAAACAGCATGTCAGCTTGTGTTTGGAAGGAAAATCTTTTTCAGAAAGGGTTATTACTGGAAACCATCCAACAGCAGTTTCTTCTGTACCACAAAGAATCAGACTGAAACAATTGACAGTAACCTGGAGCTGTGTTCTGTAGCTCTTCTTTCTCTAGTAAGTAAATCCTACCTGTTGGAGTCGGCTTGATGTTTGGTGTCCTTTGGTAAAGTTTTGTGAATGGTGAAAGGATGCCATTGGTAGATCTTGGTCTTCCTGTGAGGTAGATTGATATCTCTTGATCTGCATGTGTGAAGTGTCTCCCAACTATAGCGTGGCAAGGACTGTCTGCTAAATTCTATGGGGATCTCTTTGGGTGTGCTTTAAAGTCTGTGCTAAACTTCGAATTTTCCATTTCTTTTTTCTTAAATAGAAGTATTTTCTTAAGTCAACAGTAGTTATTGTATGGTGGTTCCTAGGTCTAAAAAAGTTCTTGAGTAAGAATTTATCTGAAATAGTACTTGGTGTAACTTGGATGATTTTTTGCATGGAGTTTTGTCTGCTTACTGCAAGTGTTTGATACTGAGTCATTGAGACAGGGACTTGGGCTTCTAGGAATTAGCAGGCGCAAGTCACATGCGGCTACATGTTTTCATGGTCTGGTCCTAGGAGAAGACATGCTAAATACTGTGGAAGACTTGCATAGCTGTACTTGACAAATATTGTGGAGCTACATCTACAGAAACACTCTCCTAAGTGTGACTTTTGAGAAGATAAATTGAAAGTCTTTTATAGTATTGACACTTACTGTGGTGAACTGCTTTAACTGTCCTGCTTCAAACAGGTGTCTGACTTGAAATTCGCTACTGTTTTGTATTCCTTAACTTTCACTGGGGAAACAAGATGTCTGTTGTTGCAGTCTTGATGAAAAATTGTTTTAAGAATTTTTTTAGATGTGAAAATAATATATTTGGGAAGAAACACCCATCTTAGGTTTTCTGAAGTAGCTTGTGACTTCTCAGCAGAAGTGAGGGAGTATATCACAAAGCATTGTTTTAAGCACCTTAGTAATATTGATGTTATGCAATGCACCAGTGTATGATACCATCTGGAAGAGCAGAAGTTTTGTGTGATGGAAGAGACTTCTAATCATAAATGTTCTTGAGCCTCCTGTAGTCTCTCAAAGGGATCTGAGGGACTATATTGATCTCACATACTCTGAAATCTTCCCAGTTATTGAAGATACTCTGGTTCTGTCTACCTACTGCCTTTTGCTATTCTTTGTTGTTCCTAGTTGCCCTTGCACACTACTAGAAGAAAAAAAAGCAAAGCCAAAATGTAACGAAGGGACTATTGCTATAATTTACTTAGACTACTACCAGGTCTAACTTTCTCATAGTTAAGGTGTCTTTGTGTTGATATGGTGCAAAACAGCAGAAAATGAGTTGTTTTGAACTTGGCATAAGAATTGCTCTCTGAGAAACTTCTTTAAAACAAACAAACCCAACCAAGGAATTCTTGCTGAAGATTGTTTAGACTCTGTGGCAGGAACCATAGTTGTACTGGCTATACAGTGAAGCACTTTTCCAGTGGTAGTGCTTCAAGCTTCTGATACAACGCAGAAAAATGTTTTGAAACAAAATCTGGACCTCTGAACCAGAGCAAAGAGCAGCCCTGATTTAAAACTGAAGTCTGTAGAAGTGCAATAATGAAAGCTGAGACAGCCTGTCATGTCACAGGGGAGTTAGGGGAAAGGGAATATGTGTGTTGCTTGGTTGACTGGCTATTTGCTGCTGCAAGACCTTTGAGTTTGAAGGTTAGTTTTCCAGGGAATAAACAGCCCTTTTAGTGGGTAGAACAGCAGGCAATTAGATGCTTGCCCTTGGGTAACTAACTTGTATGAGCTGTTGAAAGATTCTGCTCTTCCTTTTTCATAAGTTCTGAAAAATAAAACTCAAACCAGATGATCAGTCTCCTGTCTTGTTGATAGGAACTTTGCCAAATCTTTTAAAGCTTCCTTTGTAGTACAATAGGAAGAACAATGTTTTACTACTTTAACTATGTGAGCTATAAATTTAATTTTCAGTTCTAACTAAATTCTCACAGACAGTTTTAAGACTTCACCTGATGGCTGAACAAAAAGGTCTGTCTTGGAATGATTTTGCTTGGGGAAAGCAAATGCAAAGCTGTTAAGTTTTCTCCTGTGTTACAGTCTTATAAAATTACTATGGTAACAAGGTTTTTCAACAGAGCACATAGCAGAGCTGTTGCAACAGTAAGTGTAAGTTGGAGTTTATGCTACTACATGTAAATAAAGTTACACTCAAGTTGTAATATTAAATCTTGTCTTGAAATGCATTGAAAGCCATAACTTCTAGAGAGCACATTTAAGGTGAGCTTAAGGACTAGAGTGCCAGCAGAGCATTCATAAGTGGAAAATTCTGGAATGAGTCTCATGCTGAATCTTGTTGTGTATGCAGATCCTGTCTCAGAGTTGATACAGAGCTATTAGAGCATAAGGTTTTTTAATACAAAACATCTGTTACAAGTCAGCATTGGCTGAGAACTTCCGTTCTTCTAGTGAAGCATAAATTTGAAGGAATTGTGAGTATTTAATGGCTTCAAGTAATGTCTGTGGGACAGAAAACTGCAACAAGTTGATTGTTCCTCATTTTAGGTGGAGGTGACTACCTGACAGGTTTGTGAACTGCCTGAAGGTATTAGTCTCTTAGTCTCTACTTGGGGATTTCCCAAGGTCTTCACTGAAGAACCCCCAAGGCGAACCATTATAGCTCTATGGGCCTGACTTCCACAACTGAGTTGGCAGAAATAAGCTTTAGCTGCACCTGGAATTAACTCGGCTCAATTTTTGTAGTCAATACTTAAGTGTTACTTCTCACACTATTTAAGCTATTAAAG